GCTTTTTTTTTTTTTTTTTTTTTTTATACGCTTTATTTACCCTAATTTTCATATTATTTTTAACTCAAAATTAAAAGATATTTAAAAATAAAAATATTGTTTTCTACCCTTAATTTAAAAAAGAAATCAAATGAGATCCAAATTAATCATTTATTCTTTACTATAAAAAATATATTAAATATTCTTTGATGTAATCACATATACTTTTGTTATTCCAAAAATTTTGAAGTAAATATGCTAGTAATTTAATTGGATACAAAATAAATAAATAAAATTTAGAACTTGTATAACATGAATTCAAGAGAGAATTTGGAGATTGATAACTATTTTATTTTTTAATTTTCTGCTTTTTTTTTATAAGTTTATTTATAATAATTTTTACTCCTTTTGATGAAAATATTTGAAATGCTAACGATTTTTTTTAAAAAAATCACATTATAAAACTGAAATTTAATTATTATTATTATTATTTTGAAGAATCAGAAATAAATTTATGGTAATAGATATATAACAAAAGAGTGTTGAGCGTTATTAGGAGTGAGTCTCACATAGTGAATGGTCATGAGTTTATAAGGAAGTCTACCCGGTGGAAAAATTAGGCAGGGAAGGAAATTGGAGGAGGAATTATTTTAATCACTGTATATTCCACATATTTGCAAATTAATTGAAGGAATATTATTAGTCAATAAATCATTTTTGTCGTATTATAGACTCTCCAATTGTTTTGGTCTAGACAAACTTGATCGACACGAATAAAGGGTAAAGCGATCAAATCTACGTTGAAATTTGGAGTGTAGAGAAAATGTGAGTCATGACAGACTCCCTTTCTTCCTTTCACATTTTTAGATCTTTGTGTCTTTTCCCTTCTAATTTTCTTTTTTCAATTAATTAAATGTGAAGTCGGGAATTTAAACGTTCGATTTAAAGGAAAACTGCTTGCTTTAATTAACAATTTGTGTAAAAATAATTATAAAAAAATATATGATCGTCCTGAAAAATAAATTGAAACATCAAAGTACTAGCAAAGCATTTATTATTCCGATAATTCTTTTTGTTTCTATTATGGATGTTTTTATTTAGAATTTAATTATCAAATATTTTAATTGTTTATTTAAACCATTAAAATATATATATATATATATATATATATATTTGTTGATAAACCTTTAAATTTTCACCTAATAAATTCTTCAATAAACATTTTATACTTAAAGTTTGACGAATATAATTTATTTATATATTTCTAATTAATAAAATTAAATTGACAGTTTATAATCTCATACCAAATTTATTTTCACATCTAATCAATTAATTAATTTTTAAAATTCACATATAAAATTAAAAATTTAAATAAATTTATTAAACTTAGTAATTAAAAAATAATTTTTAAGTTTCCAAAACTCTAAAATATAGATTATAAACTAGAAATCCATATTTCTAAGTGTTTATAAATTTAATTAGAAAAAAAAAAGTTAAAAAATAAATAATTATCAAATAAATACATAATTTATTTAGAATCTATCCGAATAAAATGAGTTTTAATTTAATATAAATTTAAGAAAGGTGGGTTCTTACACTACTCTTAATTCAAGTCAAATATGCTCACTTCATTGGTAATATATTATTTAAAAATACTTTAAATTCCCAAAATTGTATGAAACTCTCCCAAAGTCAACAACGCCCATATATTTATATTTTAAACTGATTTTTCAATATATTATTTTAGTCTATAAAATTTATTTTTTAAATTTTCTAACATCTTAATTTTAAAAAATTATTGACAAAATATAATAAAATGATTATTTAATAAAATTATCACATATATATATATATTATATAGTGACATACCAATAAATAAAAATAATTAAAGAACGTGTCAAAAATAATTCGGAGTTTTTAGTAAGTCAAGGAGGAAGAGCCCAAGCTTCCAACTATATATATATGAACGGGTTTCGCCATTTGTATTCAGTCTCTTTCGTTGTTTACTCGAGGCTATACAGCAAACTATGCAATCTCCGCCACTGCCGCCGATGGTAGTTCTCAGCCCTTGCGCCGCCTGTAAGATCCTTCGCCGAAGATGCGTCGATGAGTGTGTTTTAGCGCCTTATTTTCCTCCCACTGAGCCACTCAAGTTCGCCGCTGTGCATAGAATATTTGGAGCCAGCAACGTAATTAAGTTTCTGCAGGTAAATGTTCCGTTGATTATAAACTCATGATTATTCCTAAATTAGTTAACTTTCTTCTAACAATTTTTATACCATTCTTTTTAATTTCATTAGCAAGATAAAATATATAAAATTAATCAAATTTTAGTAAAAAACACTTTAAAGTTTATGTTTAACAAAATTATTATTTCGATGCTAAACTAGTTTAGTAATATTTAATTTTTATTAAAATTAGTAAAGTTTGAGAAATATATCATTATTTTTAATTAAAATAAGATAAATCCTCGAAATAATGAAATTAGAGTAAATATTGATGTCTAGTCAAATTTATAAGGTAGTTTTTTTTTTTTTTTCTTACGGATTCGTATGGTTACGGATATGAATGCAGGAACTTCCAGGGAACCAGAGAGCAGATGCTACGAGCAGTTTAGTATATGAAGCGAACGCTAGGATTCGAGACCCGGTCTATGGTTGCACTGGTTCAATCTTTCAGCTGCAAAATCAAGTGAGCGAGCTCCAAGCGCAACTAGCCCTGGCTAAGGCTGAGGTTCACAAGATGCAAGCTCAAAATGCAAATTTGTTAGCCCTAATATGCACGGAAACAAGTCAAGTTCAAGTGGAAGGTCGAGAAGTCCCAGTCTTGCGCCAAGACCACTTTCCATTTACTGATTTAAACAGTATTCCACATAATTACAAATCTTCCAATATTGTTTGGGACTCCTCATGGACTTCATCATCGTTCTAATAGTGTTCCAATCAAGTTAATCCATAATTCATATACGGAGCTGGAGCTAGAGCTAGAGCTGGAGCGGTTCTCTGACCATGAAGGTATAAAAGAATATATTTTTCGTCGAAATTCTATGGTTGCAAGCTATCTTGTTAATATCCAATGAAATCAATCAAAATGAAAGAATGATTATCTGCCCACCTAAATGATGTGGTTGTCGATTGTGAAATTTCAAATAGGTTGAAGAGGAGAACGAAACATTTTTTAAAGAGGGTGAAAACCTCTACCCAGTAAAAGTGTTTTAAAACTGTGACATTAGCAATGAGCTTGAGTTGTTACTGTTCGTAGATTTGAATTCTTAATTCTTTGCCAAGACTGAGTTAGACTTTTTTGTCTTTTTATCTATCTTCGTGTTTATTTTTTATTAATCAATTATTTTATTATTAAAAGCAAATTCATTTTAGGAGAATTTTCATGTATTTATGTAATTCGAAAATTCCACAAAAAGAACATTTTCAAACAATAACTATAATTAAAAACAAGTTTATTATTTCATAAATTTATTTCAAAATATATTTTTAGTTTTTATTTCACTTATTCGTTGTAAAAATCATATAAAAAAATGGAGGGTTCTTATTATAAAAATTCATTTTTAGAGGACAATTTATTTTTAGGAAAAATTGTAAGTTTTTTTCCTTTAATAAAATTTAATATTTATATAAATTAGTCTATAAAAATTTTATATTGAATAATAATTTAAAAAATGTTATATTTTTTATTTCGAATTAAATTTTTTGTGGTGTGTCGTGGACCGTTCATCAATAATAAGAGAGCTAAGAGGATTGTTTCATACCATTGAATCGAAAAGCTCGAACATAATAATGATAAAAATATGATTGTCTTTAAATTTTGTTATGACATCGCTCATCCGAGGTCATGTACATTCTTATTCATAGGTTTTTACATGACGTTTGATGAAACGAGAGTTCAAAAATGGTTATTCTTCATTCCCCACTAAATTCTCGATTTATTTTTTGTAGAGATTGGGGCGAAAATTTCAACGATTTTTTTTCTTTATATATATTAAAAAATATAAAAATATTATATTAAATTCAAAACTATTTTATTAACAAAAATATAATAAAGTATTATAATATATTTAATATTATTTTATAAACAAAAAAATATAATATACTGTTTAATATAATTTTTTAAATTTAAAATTTCGATTAAAAAAAACATTAAATGAAGTAATAAATGGAGTAATTACGTAATAAGGCTTATAGAGATGCTAAATTGCTAATAGCTAATCTTGAACTGGGAAGGGTAATTACGTAATTATGCAGTGTACAGAAATCCCTTCACCAGGAGGCGGTATATATAAACTGTCCGTCCCGCAATTCCACTTTCTTTAGGGTTTGAGTTAATTAAGCGTTTCTTGAAGAAGTTGCAGCGTCGTGATCAGCCATCATGGGGTACGAATTTATCTATTATCTGCATCATCTTTCTTCCGTGGCGTTTCTCTTCTTCGTCTTCATCCAATTATGTTTTCTCGAGGAAGTTGAAATCGTTCTGTCTGCTCTTTGACTGCTTGCTAGGAGCCTCGTTTGTTTGTATTTTTTGTGTGTTCATATTGTTTGTTGAATCTTCATGAATAATCAAACGGAAGTGGTGCTACTTTGAACAACTCTGAAGGCGTCATTTCGTTCGGATCTTTGATTTTAATCTGGCTGTTTGTTTGGATATTAATCTGGAAATTATACACTAGGAGAAACGATGTTTCGAGGACTACTGTTTTTTTTTTTTTAACTCAAAAGTGGAATCGAGGCATTCGTTTAATGTCTCTCGTCAATTGAAATGTCTTGGTTTAAAATTCATATACGAAGTGTAGAGGAGAACTAAACATAGATTCTTCATCCTCGTTAAATTTCATATACATTCCCCCAATCTTAACATTTAGATTACTCCATTCTTCACAAATAGCAAGGAGCTTTAGCTCCATTCAAATTCTTGAAGGATACATTCTTAACAAAACTGATTTACTCTTTAATTGTACACATTCTACGAGTTTATCCACTCCTTATTAGTTAGTATAATTCCCAACTCCTTTGGTAATGACTGAAGTTTTGTTTCATATGTGCTTTCTTTTAGTTGGTTGGATTATGTAACATTAGTTGTATTTATTTTGTTTGCTAATCTTGCAGGAAGACTCGAGGAATGGGAGCTGGACGTAAGTTGAAGTCCCACCGTAGAAGGCAGAGATGGGCAGATAAGTCATATAAGAAATCCCATCTTGGTAATGAGTGGAAAAAGCCTTTTGCAGGGTCATCTCATGCAAAAGGAATTGTACTCGAAAAAATGTAAGGCTATCGATGCTTATGCTATTGTCGATGTGTTATTAATATTTATTAGTCTTGAATTTTCTAATGCAGTGGAATTGAAGCCAAGCAGCCAAATTCTGCTATTAGAAAATGTGCTCGTGTTCAACTGATTAAAAACGGGAAGAAGATTGCTGCTTTTGTACCTAACGATGGCTGCCTCAATTACATCGAGGAAAATGTAAGTTAATCTAGTTTGCTTGTGCAGTGAATTTTAGTAATGTTTATGTCTATTGTTGACTTTCTTTGCTTTCTAATTTTTAATTCAAAGCCAAATTTTAAAAACTAGTAAACTGTTAGTAAACAAGGGTTTTGCACAAGGTTTCCTAAGGTTTAGAGTTGGTGTCAATTTAGTTCTTAAGGTTTCAAATGATACATTTTAATTACGATGATCGAGTTAATTTGAACATTTGTTGACTAACCAAAAAATTAAGGTGGAATGACGTGACAAATTTAACACAAGGTAGAGAATTTTAGTAATATTATTATAATGATAGGTCCCTATGTCTATTTCCAAAATTTACTCTAATGTTCGTCACATTTCTGATCTTGAACTTTTTAAAATTTCTCTAAATTTCTCTTTTAAACTTTTCTTTTTGGTACTTGAATAAAACTTGAAAATTGTATTTGCATAAATAAATAAATAAATATAATTTTAAAACTTGAAAATTGTACTTGCATAAATAAATCATATATCTGATTTTTATAATTAAAAATTATACTTGTATATATAAATAACTTTAAATTAATATTGTTTTGTAAATTATATTTGAATTTAAGCATGATTAATTTTACAGGACGAGGTGTTGATAGCGGGATTTGGACGTAAGGGTCATGCTGTGGGAGATATTCCTGGTGTTAGGTTCAAAGTGGTGAAAGTTTCTGGAGTTTCACTTTTGGCTCTCTTCAAAGAGAAGAAAGAGAAGCCAAGGTCCTAGAAACGCCTTCGCCAATCACTGATTTTTGTGTACTCTTAATTTAATTTAAATTCAAATCATCCATCAAATTTTGATATACTCTTAATTTTTTTAATTTGAACGCTTATGCATGACAGTATACAGGGGGTTGATTAGAATCATCTCGACGATGCTATTGATTCTTCTTCAAACAGCTTCAATGGACAATAACAAAATGTGATAAAAATTGATGGAAATCGACTTCAATGATGTATAACTAACTATCTTGCATTAATTCAATTCACGCGGTTGTTTAGGCGAATGGAGTTAACCTGCATGGCTAAACCCTCAATTTGTGGATCCACAAAACTTACCTCATTTTCCTTGTCGTCTAATTCAGCGTACCGCGAGATGATCTTCTTGGTTTTCATAGATTGATTACATTGGACAATCCTGTTATATGACGCAACTGTCGAACTTCTGTTGCCTTTTGTGGAGGCGACACACACTGGTGATCCTCCATTTTTATCGTTTCGAATCTCGGGCCGTGGTCGGGTTCTAGGAGGAGATTGAAGCTCAGTACATCGAGTATGAACTTCCTGCTTAGTGTCAACAATGGTGGCTAACCGCAACATAGTTTCCTGTTCATAAAAGGGGATTCAATGTCAGCAAAAGAACAAGAACCTTTTAAGTAAAAAATGGAGCTTTTAGGAATGAACTGACCCGATCAAAATAGCCAAGTTTTGGTGACGGCATTCGCAGGCCGGAAGGTTTTACTTCTTTTAATATTCTCGAAGCATCAGTATTGCCATCTTCTTTAAGGTCTTTTCTATGGCGTCGATTCACTGATGTTTCATGTCGATTCTCTTTATCTATAAGAGGACTTTTATTAAGACTGGAATATGGACTTCGCTTGGATCTGTTGGTACATCTTTGAGCTGTTGAAGTGGTCTCTAAAGGCCATTCCTCAATTGAGCTTGCTGGTGATCCATACCATGAGGATGTTGGTGTGGACTGGCAAGAACTTTCCACTTCCGTCTTGCTTGCTCTCGTCTTCATCAATGGAGTTGTCGAAGCAGAACCGGCAGTGAATATGTTCGAAATTCGGGAGTTGACATTTCTTCTCAAAACTGGAGGTGATTTTCGAATGGTTACCTCAGATGGAGGACGGCGGGTGAGTTTTTTAGATGTTGTAAAATGTGGCAGAGATGATCTAAGTGACTGGGTGGAGCCATGGATGGCACTGAACGAGTCCCTTAAACATGGTTTCTTTAACTTGCCAAAACCTTCTACTGTTAACAAAAAAAAAAAAAAAAAAAAGAACGAACTTTGTATGAGTTACATTATTGATTGAATTTATGAATTTCATTTCAGTGAAGAAACCTGAACTTTTTTTATGAGTTCAATTGATTGAATTGAGGCGTACCCGAAGCTGAAACCCCAGACCTGCATCCCAGTTTGACATGCTTTTCGCCCAAGGAAGCAATTTTAGTTGAACTTTTTGAAACGAAGCTTGTCTTCTCTGAGACCTTGAATGGTTTGAGGGAAGAAGATGAATAATGTTCCCTACTTTCACCCATATGTTTCAGCTAAAAGAGATATGCACTCGTCAGTACAATTTAGAGGTTCTTAATTTTGTGGCGTAGCTGCAAATCTAAAGCTTTCAAAATTCAGGCTTATCATATTAGCTGCAAACTCTGCTCTTTCGAGTGGAAATAAGAAGGAAGCTTTAACAGATTAGGATTTTACACGAGCAAAATTCTTTATTGACGTGTGTTATGATCTACCAATCACCCAAACCTGAACGTACCTGTATTTTTGGTGACTTTGGCATCTGTCCAATCATCTTCTTTGATCCATGCTTATGATGAACACTATGCCTTCTGCAAGTTGGCACGTCCTTCATCTGAAATATTAATGCAAAGTATTATTTGGGGAACTAAGATGGATTAATGAATAAATAATTATGATGGAGGCAAGAAATTACCACAGTTCGAGAACCATCCGGTTTGGCGGAATCTGTAATGAAGGGAAATAAAAACCCAGATGAACATAATGGCAGTTTGTCTCAAATTGGTTTAAAAGAATGGAAGAATTTTCTGGGACGTTTCATGGACTTCTGTTAGTTTTTGGGTTTTAATTAAATTTCATGCTCTATTGGTGTAAATATAAACACCCTTTATGAAATTTAATATAGATTTATAGAAACTCCAAGAAGCTTCTAGATGATATATCTAATATTGAAGATAGGCATGTTATTTAATATTTAAGAAATCCTGTCAAAGGTTGAGCTACAGATTCCATTACCTGTTCTTCCCTGTTCAAACCTTGAAGCATTTAGTTTGGGAATCGATGCTCTGATGTCTTCAAAAAGATCCATCTCAAGTCTAGTTAATGAGGAGCCTTCGCTATCTAAGGTACTGTTGGACTCCATAGACCTCCAAACTTCATCCTCAATAACAGGAAGCAAATGGCTTTCAGATTTCTGTAAACCGTTGTTAACAATGGCCAATTCAAAAGGGTTCAAAACTCCTGAAATATAGAAAGAACATTTGTTCGAACAGATTGAGCCATCCATTTTTTGAATAACCAAACGGCATATACTATTGGGAATAGTTTAAAGCATACCTTCACTGGTGAAAAATCCATTATCCCAAGCTAAGCTCTTACGGAAGTTGTAATTTTCGTTATTAGTGTCTGGTTCTAGTGATTGAGAAGATAATAAAAGATGTTCTTCGCTCCCCAGTATGTCAACCACATTGTCATAATTCCTTGAATTCAAGGTCGTAAATAGTTCCTCGGGTTCCAGTACTCCTGTCAATGAATGTAGTCAATCAACTATAGGCTTGCATAGAAAATGTAGACTTGAGTAAATTTTATAGAAGCCGTACCTGGACTAGTAAAGAAGGCGCTATCCCAGGCAAGACTCATGCGCGCATTGCACTTGGAATCCGGCAGTACCTGTTCCTTGGAATCTCCATTTTCGCGCCCATGAAGAACATCAACCTTCCTCCGGATGTTCGAGCTTGCTGTCAAATACGATTCAATCAGAAAATAGCCAAGCATGCAAAAAGTATTCAAGGATTTTACTTGTGCCTGAAACCTTATACTACAGAGGATTAGCTTTCATCAGCTATCATTAAAACCAACCATCACAAAAAAGTTACTCTCAGGAAAAAGAAAACCATAACAAAGAAACAATTAGATTGAACATAGTACTCTTCTACTGGCAGTAAAACGATCATACCCTGGCATAAGGAAGCTAAGCATTGCAACGATTGCGCACGAAACTAAAAAAGCTAGTAAACCGCATCTAATCAATAAAAGTACGATGTATAAAAGTAAAAAGTTCTATAATCATTAAGACGCTATATGCACAGATTCAGAGGTTTCATGTATTCATCGTATTTTTTTTTTTTTTTTTATGAGAATAAAATGGAAATTTCAGAACAATCATCACATGACATAATGGAGCTCGTCATTAAACGATCGCAAACAAGAACTTGCACGGAAGCAACATTGAGAAGATTAGGCCACATCATAATCAATAAAAAGTCATTTCAAAATTCAAGCATCTAATCAAATTACGATGTACAAAAATTGAAACTCTCGAAGAATTAAGACAAAAGAAAAGATGAAATTCCAGACGATATGTAAGGAATCGAGTTTCCATGTATTCATCGTAATTTTAAGAGAATATAGCAGAAATTCCAATCAACCTTCCCCTTGACATGACGAAGCTCGGCATGGAAACGATCGAACACAGAAGAAATGTTCACAGTAGCAAGATTGAAAAGCTTGCAAACCTCCTCATAATCAATACGAAAATTAATTCAAGAATCTAGCATCTCTTTCATCCAAGTCAATGTATAGTAATCAAAATTCAATAACAATTAGGTAAGAGAAGATGAAATTTCAGAAAATGCGACAGAATTATCCACATGTAGTTATCGTATAAGAATCCGAGTACGCAAAAAAAAACTGCAGAGTGAAAAAATTCACTATTCATCAAAAGTGATAACACAAAAACGAGATTACAGACAATCGCACGACTCAAAATGTTAAGAAATGAAGAACGAGAAAAGAAAGAATCAAAATCATGCTTCTCCGATATTAAAAAGTTTAAACACAGCGACAGTAGTAAATGCGGAAGAGAAATAAACGAATCAAACTAGAAAGCAAAGAGCAGAGAATCGAAAGCGAAGTACCTAAGACTTGAGAATCTTGAAATCCGTTTTCAGAGGACATAACGACGGATTCAATCTTTTCATTCATCATGAATCATCTATTGGCGAGGGATTCCGAGGGAAATGGAAGAGGGAGAGAATTTTTTGAACTTTGGAGACGCAGATTATGATTGTTAAGGAAATGTTTACAAAAACTAATAATTGTGGAAATGGTGAAACGGCTGCAGTTATCGTAGAAGCGGGAGCGGGCAATTGAATATTTGAATTATTATTAATACATATAATTTTTAGTCCAAATCAAAACATTTTTGTTAGGTTAAATTAGAAGTTTAATTTTTGTATTAAAATGCAAATATTTAGGGTGGTCCCCACATATTATGATTTTGGAGAATAATTTTTTTTTTTATAACAAATTCCAAATTTAATTTTCAAACTTTTAAAAATATATAAAATTTTGGGTACCAACTTACAACTTTATAATTTGTATAGAATCATTGAACCGACTCAACGAGTAACTAGAGCTGTATGAATTATATGAACAGAAAGCACAGTCTGCCAAAATCGCATACATGGAACATTTTTTTCAATTAAAAAAAAATATATCAAGATTTTAATTTAATTTAAATTTATTCAAAGATAGAAATTAATTTTTAAGTAGCCCGAAAATGGTTTCTAATTAGTCGAATAAAAAATTACTAAAATTTTAAGGACAAAAATTATTTAATTTTTAAATGTTTTAAATTTCAAAAACTAGATGTATTTTATCAAAAAAAATTAAACAAGAAAGCTAACTTTGGCGGATTATATTTAAATTTTTTTAAAAAAATATAAAATAATTAATAGCTATGAATGGTTATGTGATTGAATTACAAATATGGAAATGCATTAAATGTACAGAAATCTCAGGGTATTTAATATTCAATTATAATCTCTTCTCTTGTAACTGATTATTTAAATTTTAAAATGTTAGTATTTTCAAATTATACAAAGTTGTA